AACTTCATTTCCATTTAAGGTAATGAAAGTTAGGAAGCAGAAGCATCAGATGATGCATCAGTAAGCTGATTAAATGTTTGAGCAGGTATGAAATTGTGGACACAGCAATTCCCTTAATTGCTGTTCACGTTAGCGTAATTGAGCAGAAAAGTGCTCATTTTCGCCCTTTGTAATTTAAAGACAAACTCTTATTCTAAAATACTTGTGGATCAAGATCAAAAGAACATGCAACCCAAATATGTTAGTTGTATCATTGTCCTATCTAACTAATTTATCATGCATCTAATTACAATTATATATGTGTATAAATATATATATACATGGATAAAACTTTAAGGAAAATTTCTTTTTAAAAACCATATATATAACTATTTTTTCTTTTAATTAATCAACATTTCACATTGCATTTAGTTATTGATATATATACTCTACGTCCTGTCAACATGGCTTCACATGCTTTTGGACAAAATGTAGACATTAATTTTTTGTTTGGTTTTAACATATTTATTTTGAGTGACTTCTCCTCTCTATTAGTAATATATAGAGCTTGATACAAAGAGCGCTCTTTGGTAATTATGCATCAATTGCATAGTATGTTGCAAAATTTGTTCCTTAATTACTAGCTAGCTATTAGGACCATAACCATAAGTCATAAAATTTGTGTCAATTAATGTCAGACAAGGATAAGCATGATAAAACATATGTTCTTACTTATAGTGGAACCAACCCCAACATGAGCACTTAGTTTACTTGTTACGGGTTGGAAAGATCTTCCACACATTTTAGGCAACATGATAATTGGAAGCTAGAAATTGAAAGATGTGACACTGATTCATTTGATTGATAACTTTTGGTTGAAACTCCATGAAAGTTGTGGCTAGGAGCTGGCTTTAGAGGATCGCTCTTAAAACTAAAGTTCACGCAACTGAAAAATAAAAATGTAAGAGATTGGAATCATATGTAGAGTGGATTCATGTATATATGTGTCAGTTGGCTTCAAATGATACTAAAAAATTAAAAATATATTTCAGATCGTCAAAAATTAAATTTACTTGCTAAAATTAAAAATAATTTAATATTCTATCATCAAATCATACAGCTGCCGACAATTTTTATTAAACCTCGTATAAGTTAACTGATCTTGAAACCCAAAAACTAAAGCCCATAAAGGAGGAGCTGTTTTAAATTTAGTGATGTAAATACAGTGATTCCACCACATTAGAGTTTGTATTGCCGATGGTCTCTACCACTACTAGAATTGTATTAGGTGATATACGAAATCAAACTTATAGAGAAGGCTTTAAGCAACTGTTAAATTGAGAAAAGAGTAATTAAGTTATAAAATAGACCGATTCTAACCAGCAAAAAAAAAAAATGATTACTGAAGGGTCGCCCTTCAAAATAAGGCTAACAAAGCTTCCCTATCTTCTTGTTTACAAGTGTATTTAGATTAAAAGATAGTACGTAAATCAAAATTTATCCAATTGATAAAGAGATTTTTTTTGTCAACAAAAATTCAATTTTTACGAATAATACCTAAAAATAATATCTTGAATGTGTACGTTAGAATGATGTAAAAAAAATATATTGTTAAGATCTCTTAAAATATATATTTTAAAAAAGTTAAAAATTATTTTTGATCATATTATATAAAAAATATATTACACTTATCGGTAATACTAACAAAGTATATTGTAATTTGAAAAACAAAAGATCGAAATCCGGATCAAAGACATCCTTGTGACATTTCTTCTTTATTTCCTAATAATGCCTACTTTTGCTCCATTCATATTCTTTCTTTGTTGTTTTTTTTTTAAGGGATAAAGCGTTACATTAACATCTCAAAGAAAATTCAAGGTGGGAGGGAGGATTTTTTTTTTTTTTTCTGTTGACCTGATTGATCTCCTTCATCTTTTATTGATAAAAAATCTATAAGTTAAAAATTTTTTTAAAAATTCATAAAATTTTTTGTGAATGAATGATTTCTTCTGAACTTAAAAATAAAATAATATTCTGCTATTAAACTTTTCATGACAAAAAAAAAAATCTGAACGAGGCTAGGAAAATCACATTTCACCTGCGCAGGTAACAGGGTTGCATGGCAGTAGCCGAAGGACCCCCACTCCCCTAGAAAGATACATCATACATTGTAATGTACTTTTCAAACAGTAGCAGTCCACTGTTAAGGGTCGGATGAAAACAAGGAAATTCATAAGAGTGGACCCACAAAATATTGATAGATTTTTTTAATTATTTGATTCGAATATTAGTTTTATATCATTTTAATGTTCAAAATCTTAAAATAAAATGATTTTTATAATTTTTAAATTAATAAAAAATTATATCTTGATTAATAATATAATTTTTACATATGATGTTTTATGAAATTTTTTTCTCTCTTAATCTTTTAACTTAATAAACAATATTAACAGATAAAAAAATCTTTTTATAAATAGAGAGAGGAGCAATTTTTTTTAATTAATGATTTATTATATATTCCATCAATATATAAACTAATGATAAAATTCTCTTTTTAATTTCATTTAATCCAAATAAATTTTAGCAAACAATAATTAATAAGTTCAACTTATTAAGTATTAAATCATAAAGAAAGTTTTTACTTAAGTTAGATAACGGAATGCGGCTCATAATATCAAACAAATATTATTAGGTCCCATCCAATGATAGCATTAGATGCCACCTAGATCTCCACGTGGAGTTATCAGGACCCCACATCTTGACCGCAAGCTGTATATCACTTCAAGAGTTGGGCCCTCATCAATCATCATCAGAAAGAAAGAAAGAAAAGATTTGGCTTTTCAAAAGTTGATTTGAAGAAGGTAAAAACCTGAACGTGGCGTGGCTCAAAGGCAAGTGCCTTGCTCTGTTCTGTTGTGGAGTCCAGTTGTACTGGTTTTGATATCTTTGATCTTTGCATGTAATCGAATGCTTTGGTATTAATAATTTCATCAACTTAAGTAATCAAGGGTGTAGATGCCATGTAATGTAAGAAGGTAATTTGTTAACCATTTTCCAAAGTAGAAGAATATCTTACTTTTGAAGTTTTATACACATGTTGGGAATGAAAATGATATAAAGATGGTAGGAGAAAAGTTCTCTTGTCACGTAAAAATTCAATTATTGATCTAACATATATATATATATATCAGTAATTTTAACTGATATCTTATCAATTAGAATCAAATTTTCTAGTAATTAAGTTGATTAATTTAAGTAGAAAAGAAAGAAAATTAATTAATTTTCATAAAAGACAAATAAATGATTTAATTAGTATTTTATATGATATTTATACATTTATTAGTATTAATATATTATCAGTATAATTTTTAAATTTTGAGTTAAATTTAATAAAAATCTTATTTTTTATTTTAAATATATTTTAAGAGATATTTTTCTAAGAGATCTTTTAGAATTTTTTTTGTTTTTTAATTTTTTAATAAGGTAGTAAGGTAAGCCTGACGTGGAATTGTTGCATAGGGCTTTTCCAATGGTTGCGGTTGCAAGTGCTTTCAGTCCAAAAACAAAAAAAACGTGGTGCTACCTATGTTTTAATTCCTTAAAAAGACCGTGTCATCATCTTAACACCGTACACAAATGGGACTGCGTCGCTGGCTAAGCTGCTTCCATACACACGCTGCCTACAAAGATTCCCAGCCGCCATCCTCTCTCTCCCACACCACACCATCCATCACGTGCTTCACCAACTCGTTATTCTCGCAAGTGCGAAGTGCCACTTATTTTTAAAAGTACTTATTATTTTATAAATTGATTGTATCAATAATAACAATATTATTATTGATTAGAATTTATATCAATATATAAATATTATATATAGTAAATCACAATAATATTTTATAAAAATTTAATTTTAAAATTTAAAAAATGAATACATTTAATATCAAAAATACATTTAAAATTTCCTATTCACACTTGGAAATTAATTTATTATCATCCCCTAAAAATTTTCAAAAAAAAAAGAAGAATAAAAAATACTTTAGAAAAATAATTTTACCCTCATCAACATTAGATTTGTCTATAGGTTTGGCTTGCATGGCTCGATTAAAGTCAAGTTTTAGAAAACTTTTTTTTGTTCGAATTTGATTCATTATTAAATAATTTAATTTAATTAATTTTAATTTAAAATATTGATATATTAAAATAAAATATTTTGTAATATTTTAAAAAAATAAAAAAGAATATAAATAAATTGATCACATCAAACTCTCAAAAAGTTATAAAAAAATCAACTGGGTCGAATCTGTATCATGAACACTTGATCTGCTCTGAACATGGGAATGAAAATTAGTTTAACCCTACTAATAGAAAAGCTTGTATGGTTAACGGGATATGTAGCAAAACACTTTGTCCGTACCAAGGCAAACAAAAGAAAACTAGTTAATGGTGTTTGCAATTATACCTCTTACTTTGGTTCAATTTAAACAAGATAAGAAGATTGTTTGAATGGCCAACTTAACGCGTAAAATGGATGCCTCCGTGTCCCCCCACCCCCCAAAACAAACATTTTATTTGTCTATTCTAAACCATGCTTAAGCTTTGTCTTTTTGTAATCTAGAAGCTTATAGCAGAGTACTAGGGTCTGTATTTCATGCCCCATAGCCATGGACAAGCTCTCAAAAGTCTTAACAATATTAATATGTATATATGGTGGAACCAATTATACACATCTATCCATTATTTAACTTACTTTTTAAAGCATGATTCTTAGACTCCAAAAAAAAAAGAGGAGAAAACCATAGTCAATATTAATGAATGACATTAATTTAAAACAAAAGCATCAAATTACAAGTCCCACCCCCCCCAAATAAAAAATAGAAAGACAAACGAACAAAATTACAAAAGTAATCCACGATTAGACAAGTTCTACATGTGTTCTAAAATATATTTCTGATTTTTCTTTCTTTTCTAAAATTTACTCTAATTCTCTCAATGCATCCTCTTCTCACACTTTTTCCTTTCTGTTTTTTTTTTTTTTTTTTTTTTTGGCTCCACAGTTGAATTTCATTCCCCCCATTTATTAGTATATATTTAATGATATTTTTCACATGTTGAAGTTGAACTGCTGCTGTAAGAACAAAATATCCTCTGCATTCAAGAAATTGTCGGATGCATCATTACCACCATCTAGCCAGGGGTCGTTCTGCTGATCCATGGACTGAAAATCTATGCCCTGGTTGTAGTAATTACCAGAGGGACTTATTAACTCAGAGCAACGAACTTGGCTAGCTTGGAAATAATCCGGATTAGGGTCGTTATTGTTAACCTGGATGCTGCTGTAATAATCAGTCAAATCTGAAACCGGTGAAACCTGAGACCCAAAAGAGTCTGATGAGGCTGCAGTGCTGGAATTCTCAGGGGTGTAACTTGGGGTTACTTGTGCGCCTCCAAAGCCATTGCCTATAACCCCAAGAGGTAAGATCATTTGTCCCGTCCCCACGTTGGCCGTTGTGGTGAGGGAGGCGGAGGTGGTGGTAGTAGAGGCTACGGTAACAGCAGTTGTGGAGGTGGCTGTGGCAGCGGCAGCAGCTTGAATTCTTTCAACTAACCTAGGCATCCATATGTAACGCATGGTGTCCTTGAATTGCTTGCTGTTCACGTCACATTTAAGTTGCTTCGCATGTTTCTGGACACGGGTTCTCCAATAGTTCTTAATCTCATTGTCGGTTCTTCCAGGCAAGTGTTGGGCGATTTTGGACCATCTGTAATCGTTCAATTAAAAAAAAAAAAAACCCTTTAGGGTTAAAACAAGAGAAATAATAAGGACATAAAAATCTCCGTAAATTGTGTAAAAAAATAAAATCATAAACTGTTCATGACTTAGTTTAAGGTAAAAACATATACCGGTTTCCCCAGCGAGAGTGAAGTTCAAGAATCAAAAGTTGTTCCTCAAGAGTGATGTTCCCACGTCGAACATCGGGGCGGAGATAATTCAACCATCTCAATCTGCAGCTCTTTCCTGTCCGATTGAGACCTGTTTCATTGAAATTCATTCTGTTTAGAGGCGACAAGTTATTGGTAAAGTTATTTTGAAAACAAATGTTAGGGGAAAAAGAGAGCGCATTTTCTCCTATACAGCTGCACTACTTTTGTCTTTTTTTTTTTTTCATGAGTTGCATCTTTTGCTTAAAAACTTTTATAATTGAGTTCTCCATCATCAACCTCACATTCAAAGCCACAAATTCTCTAAATATGCTGTAGCTTTTCCATGGAATGTGCAGCTTTTACTTTTCAAGTTGGTATTTCTTATATACAGATCAATCCTGATCAGTGTCAATCAAGCAATTGGAGAAAATAAAGAAAGAATTAAAAAACAAGATTTTTTTTTCTTTTTTCATCAGAAACTTTGCACTTTTGCTAGAAAAGAGAGGGGAGAGAGAGGATTAAAAAAGAAAGAAAAGCAGGAGCTTTGCACTTTCGTTAATGGCGATGAAAAGCTCATTTCATTAACCAGGAAAGCACATGAAGATGACGACAAGACCACAAAACAAAGTTAAATCAACTTGTCAACCAGTTGTACTTTAGAAAAAAGCTCTCTCCTTGGCCACACGTTCAATATCAGCACCAACCCACAAAAAAGGAGAGGGGCCAATTAATAAATATGATGACATATGAATAATAGTATTTACCTGCGCAACGGGCAAGAGAGTTCCATCGACCTTCGCCGTGAGTAGCAATATAATTGATGAGTTTAAAGTCTTCTTGTACAGTCCAAGGACCTCTTCTGATCAAGTCCATCTGATCTTCTTCACTTTGGACGTTTCCGCTAAAACCCCTTGCTTTAACATCCATTATTTTCCCTTAAAAGGAGAGTCCTATTGATTGAAGTTTGAAAGACAAACGTTTTGATATAGATAAAGAGAAATAAAGAGAGAGAGAGAGAGAGAGTTGGATTAATACAAGGGAAGATAGAGAAGTGGGGTTTTATAGATGGAGATGGGTTTGAAAATGGAGGAAAAGGTCAGCGTGTGAAAGAGAGAAGAGCCAAAGGACTTGGGTTTTTAATTAAACACTTAAGCTTGGTAGTAATTATAGTTAGCAAATAGTAAAGGGTCGAAAGTGCGATCATATCAGCATTCGATCCATAAAAAATTTTCAATTAATAATACTAAAATAAATAATCTCTTAAAATGTCCTCGTGTTTGATTTCAAGTATCAAAAAAAAGAAAAAAAGAAAAAGTTCTGTTTGGCGTACTATTTGTTTTCACTACACAGGTCTTAAATAAAAGATATACTTTGTAAACATATGTAATTGAATTTAATTTTTTAAATTTCATATATAAATAAGCCAGATTAAATTAATGCTTTAATTGCCAATCACAGAAGGTATAAAGCTTCATTAAATTATTGTATTAATTAATTGTTAGTCACAAAACTAAATGAAATTTGATAAACCTTCGAGAAGGGTGCTTGATTTGCAGTGAGGTGGACCATATAGTTACCACTGGAAGAAAATTAATTCCACACGTTTTCTTTTGCTTTTCTTTTATTATTATTATAATATATAAATAGTTTTTTTCTTCATTTTGGTGGGATTTGATTTGCTTGTGGTGTTTGAACTGAGTTATATGGTGTTTTTAATTTGCTAATTAATTGGCATATAGCAATATTTTTGTCTAATTTCTAATTCAGAATTTATTTATTTATTTTATTGATGATAGATTTCCAACAGAGAATTAAAAACATTTATAAATGGGTGAGAATTGTGAGTCAAAAGGCCATTAGTGGATTTTCTCTTAAACTTCTCTCTATGGACAGCAATCGATCGATCGAAGAGAGAGTCCACAAAAATGATCAAAATTCATAGGTCTTTCTTCAACTTTTATGCACTGCTTCACCTTTGCCAAATTTATATATAATAAGGCCAAAGATATATACACTGTTAATTTCCTTTACAACAACAAAACAAATTAACAGAAATTAACCATAGCAGTTTATAAAATTCTGGATTTCGCCCACTGATTCTTAGCCTTTTATTAAGGACCATTATTAATCAATATACAAAATTCTACTTTAACCTTACAAAAAATGTTCTTAATATATATATTTTGTAAAATTGACTCGAATCCGGAAACTCAATTTTTTAATTGAATTCGACTTATATTTATTTGTTTGTAAAAAAGTTAAAACTCAAATTAATTTGAATCTGAATTAATTTAAACTCGAACAATTTAAAAAGTTAATTCAAACTTAAATTAATCTGACTTTAAAAATTAAACACAATAATTTAATTCAAATTCAAATAAATTGATTATCAAACTCATAAGACCCCAACATAATAGAATTTGAATTCTAACCGATCTAAATATCAAAAAATTTGAAATGATTTAAGTTGAAATGATCTAGCTCAAATCAATCCGGTTCACTTTAAATAATGACTTAGAAAAAAAAATTTTGCCTAGAAATTTCTTTCTCGTGAAAATTGATTACATCTTGGAATGATAACATTGGTGATTTTACAAGCCAAACCAAATGAAAGAATGACTCATGTTTCAAGTATCGACCTCGTTTGTTATAGATTTGTAGATGACCAGTTTTATATCGATCCATAGAATTTTGTTACCCCACATGAGGCTACAGTTTAATATAATAAACAAAGTAACAAAAACTCCGTACCTCTTTCAACATTTGGGGTAAAAATATTTATTCTCATATATATATATATATAGATATATATAAATAAGCAAAATTCCAAAGATTGTTTGGAAAAATGACAAACATTTAAAATTTGTCATAAATTCATTTTATTGTTTAAAAAAAAAATTCTAGATAAACATTTAAAGACAAAAATATTTGTGTCACAATCATCACCTGTCATAGTTAGGATAAAAAATTAATAATAATAACAAGAGAGAAAAGTTGTTGCTTATATGCAAGCTTTAGATCCTCCTATATATAACTCAAAGGGTATCCAATCTTATATGCATGCTTTAGATCCTCCTATATATAACTCAGGTATCCAATACCAACCATGGTTTGTCTCTTATATTGTAGGGGACATCTTTTTGTTTTTCTATGGTTGGAGGAATTGTTCTTCCTTTTTTTTTTTTTTTTTATTAAGGATTTTTTGGACGGTGTTATATTCTCATGCTTCAATAGAGTATCAAATATGCATGCCACCACAACTATTAGTTTGTACGCATCTACTTTCTAGAAAAAGAAAATAAAAGGATGAAAACAAAGAAGAAAACCCAAAGTTTATTGGACCCGCCTAATAGTTATAATCTTCAAATACCTATATTTCTACAAATTTTTTCGGCAAAAACTATATTCCTACAAATTATGTTAAGCTAATTATTCTTGTTTTTATTTTTTTAAAATAATAAAAATATGAATTTAATTGTTTCAATAGAAACTAGAATATTTATAAATTTTGTGAAGCAAAACAAATTTCATTTAATCAAATTAAAGCTAAACTACATATGCCCTATTTATCTGTCCAAATCAATCAGCAGTATTAAAATGTAAGATTAAAACCAACCTTGCCAAATGAAGTTCTAGGAATATGTATATAAAAATAGAATAATGTGAGTGCCTGCCTAGATACAAATTCTAAAAAATCCCTCATTCCTGAGCAAATCATTCTACCATTCATAGCAATTAAGTTCTTTACCTATCCTTAAGGCTTAAACAAATATTTTTTTATGTTGTGATGCAGATCAGCATCATTCATCACCAAAGAAATAAATAATGGTGGCTTTTTCAATATATTATAATTACAAAGAATTATATAATTATTGTTATCATTGATCATTTAGAATATGGATATCGAATATATATATATATATATATATATTGACTTTTGGGTTCTCTTTTAAAAAATTAAAATTTATCTGAAAAGCTTGGCTCATATATATAAATAATTAATTCCTGTTTTCCAAGCTGTAATTAGTGATAAAGAAGAAATTAAGAGGAAAAGGAAAGATAACTAAAATAATGGTTGGATAGAGAATGTACTAAGTGTGAAAAGGACCTTTTTTTTTTTTTTTTTTTTTGAAAAAAAGTGGAGGTCCCGAGGGAGGGCGATTCCGAGGTTTTGTTAATTAATTAATTATTATTATTATAGTTTTAATTGGTTACCCCCCAATAGGGGACTGGAAGGGGAAAAGCATAACATAACAATTACACGAAATTCATTCCCTTGGACACACGTTGTCCCCCATTCCTTTCTTTCTTACCTTACGGGGATTTTATTAAACACCACTTTTTTCTTTCACTTCCATTTCAATTTATACACAAACTCTCATCACTGCACATTCTTTTCACCGTTCCAAAACCATAAACAAAAATGTTTATACAATTCATTAGTCTTTTGGAGATTCCTTATTCCTTTTTTCTTTAATTGCTTTTAGTGCATATATTTTTTAACATGATTAGGGGTAATCCATATTTTTCTTGAACCTAATTCATTTTTATGTGATTTTAAAGATCTATTCTCTCACATCAACATGATGTAATTAAAATTTTAATTTTAAAATATTCTTTATAAATAATGAAACTTAATTAATAAAAAAATGAAAATTTTCTTCTTATCAATTGGATTAATCTTTCTAAAATCAAGATCTGATAATTCATGTATTTTTATCATGTAAAATATTAAAAATTTATGTATTCATATCGTATTTTACATGAAAATTATTTGTTACATTTCATGTTGATATAAAAATATAAAATATATATATTTTTATTTTATTAAACCTATTTATGATTTTTGCTAAAATTTTAAATTATATTATTTTTGTATTTTTTATTCGTATTATTTTTATATCATATTATCATATCATATTAAAAATTATTAGGTTTACTAAAATCTAAAGAGATACTACCATTTTTTTTTTATCCTTAAAAGAGTAATTACTATCATTGATCCTAAATTTAAAACATTTAATTTGTGATAATAAATTCATTTGAAAACTACCCTTTTTAAGTCGCAAAAATTTGATTGGATTGATCTATTATACCTAAAAGCTACACCACTCTGTAGTTAGGGTGCCAACAATTTCTTCTGATGTGAAACTGAGAAGCAATTTCAATGACTAAATACTTTTGACCATCATAAGTTATGTGATTATGCTTAGAGAAATATATAAATAATAAAAAAAAAGTAATAAGCAAATGAAATGTTGACATGGAAATATTTTAAGTCATAATCGGTAGGCTATTGAAAATCATGATTTTGTGCTTGCACTTGTTACTATCAAGTGCTTCCATGCAGCCTTTTTATTTTATTTTTTGTTTTCACTTTGAGCAACTAAACTTTAAGTGTGGGTCAGAAGCTTAATCAAGTTTTAAACCCAAACCTCAGTTATGTTGAATCATTGAACTCCATAATTTTTTTCTTTTAACGGAGACTGCTGACTATGCAAAGGCAGCAAGAAGGCCCAGAAGAAAAGGTCTTTACCCCTATCTCTAATATAAAGATATAGGGTAGTACCTTAACTAGATCAATTTGTCATTTAGCGATGCTGACAAAATTTACATTTCCTAGACCAATTTCATGAAGTAATAGACCTACAATTTGGATTCAAAAGAACCTAAAGCAAAAATCAGTTTGGTGAATGGCTGAAAGTTTGAAAATATTAACAATATCAAAGTCAAAATTAATTATTTCAAAATCCTCAACTTAAACAATCATTTTTGTTGTTGCAAGATAAAGTAATTATTAATCAATCTCATTGAAAGCCGGCAACCGCGAAAGAAGAATATCAAGAGAAGAGGACTAAAAACTGACGTTGTTCCTGAGAGTGACAACCATCCATTGTTTCATTCCTAGTCTTTAGTCAAAAAGCTGGCCCGGGTTTTCAGGGCCTATGTGGCTGACAATTCTAATTGGACGGTGTGTTCGTGTCAATAGACAGGAATCGATCTCTCCCATTGTTTTTCTGAATAGTTACCATTAACTATTAATGGACTTATTAATAGTATGATTTTTTTTCCTTTAATTCTTTTTCTCAATCTGAAGCGTCTTTGACCGAAACTTATGTGTTTTAAACTTTAATTTTCCTTTGTTCTCTCAATTTCTTTGACTCTTTAATTAGGCATGCGTGTATATATATATATTTATATATATGTATATATTCCACAACAAGTATATACATGTTAGGTGTAAGAATTTTATCATAGTTTGACGACTGTATAATTCTCAAAGAAAAAATAGTTTAGACAGTTGGGTCCAATTATATCAATCCATTGTATCTTTCATAATACTTGTACAAATCATCAAATCATTAGTAGCCATAGCCCCCATAGGAGAAAATGTTGACCGTGGCTAGCTTGATTACTCTAAAAATCGTCTGAAAAAGCTATTGGAAGAAAAATGATTGTGCTGTTAACTTGTAGATGTTGATATTAGTTACTAATTTCCAGTGTTTTTTTTTTCATTAAAGAAACAATTCAATATCTTGTATGTTTCATCATAGTAAGTTAATAACTTTCCTTTGTTGGGTCGGGCAGGCTTACTGCTCACAGGTTTGATTGGCTGATTCCAATGAAAGAATATATTTCAACAACATTTTTAACTATCCGATGCAATCTTTTCGGCTTTCTCATGGGATAGGGGGGATTCAATCAATCATCCAAATTAAACAAGAAATCCTTATGTCAAGCAGGTGCATGCTTTGATTTAGCTGAGAATGGAATTAAAAAAGCCGCCAAAGCAGCAAAGAAAAAGACGAGCACCCAATGTCTCGTCTCTTCGATGCATTAATATAAAGCTTTAAACGATTTGCCTTTGTTTCCCCTACAGTGTTTTTATTTAAGTATACGTAACTATGTTGGTTTCTAACTCGAAAAAAATTTTTGATAATCAGTTTTATATAAGAAGATTATTATAATCAGAACATCTAAAGCATATTGTTGCTGCACAAATAGGCAAGCTGGTCTTTGATAATTATGTTAACGTGTTTACTTAGTTTAATATGATCACATCTGTGGAATTGATCGTTCAAATGAAGGAATTTGCTGATCAAACCCAAGCTGGTGTGTAAATTTGATTGTCAGAGTTTCACACTGTTGCCAGAGCTGGGGAGATCAGATACGGTGGATGATATGGCAGCACCACGTTTGGATTAGACATATAGTGCAGTGGGGGGACTAACCCACTTTAAGGGTTGGTGACCTTTCAAGAGGGAGATGGGGTGATCCAAATATGGTATGTATCTTTCCTTTGCAAAATTTGATTTCTTTCATTGGATAAGGGATCCAGATTATCTAAATCTTAGATTAGAGACTAGAGAGTTCTTTTTATAGTTAATTAGCATCCCCATAATAAGTAGGCGAAGTGCAAATTAACACGAACATCTCCAATTGTTATTGGTTCAAATAGGCATCTGGAGATGATGAGATTAGATGTGAAAATGACGATAATAAGGACGATGACCGATGATGACGATGAAGATGACGAAGTTGACGTATAGTAATGGAGACTTAACTACAGTAAATGCATAAAGAAATAAAAGGCCTAAGATTATGATGTTTAAGGGCATGGAGGAATATGACTAAGGAAGAAACTCAAGTACCCTCGTCTAGATTCAATGGCACATCAATTGATGAAATCCAAGCTGGAAAACGACATGCAATTTGATTTCTTTTAAATGCTAATTTTCTTTGTCCTTTGTCCTTTTTCTACGTTTGGGTTTATTTAATAACTAAGATTACTTAATTTTCTAAATATATGTGTGTATATATATATATATATATATATGTTGGTAAAAAATTCCCAATTAATTAATTCATAATTAATCACCTTTTTTCTCCTTCGATTCCTAGTTTGAGTGAAGTGAAGTTAAAATTCATAATTCATGTTGTCAGATTAGATGATCGATGTTACTTTTGATGATGCTTGATCAACAAATGTTACATGACCAACCAAGTTCATTTTCAAGATAGTTAGAAAATTTTGACTTGTACGGTTTGGGGAAGTAAAATTCCATAATCTTTTTGAGATATTAATACATGTAGACTATAAAATCTTCGAGTGTTTGATGTTCAAGGTTTAATATTCAAGTTGAAATCAAAACCGTAATTAATCTGTTTAATACAGTCAACTGAACTCGGAAACAAACAAAATGTTCAAAAGGGTAATAAATATTATGGTTTATAATAAGAAGAGAAAAGCTGTCAATTCTTGATATCAAATCTGATGCTAAATAATTTGTACCAAATTTCATATAAAAAATAGTTTGTTATAATGAATTTTCTTTTAATTTCTTGGTATGTGGCAAAATTTTCTTAGATGAGTAAAATGGGAATGATTGATTCATTGAATTGTGACTCAAACATACGTATTTGATGATGCAATTCCATTCCAAGTGAAAATGCATGTGAGGTAGTTTAAAATTTAATATCTTCCATATATATTACAAAATTTTGTAAGGTAGCAAAGCCGATTATTATTTTATTATTACACAGTTGGACTCTTTTTTCCTGATCTAATTTCCTAATAAACGAAGAAAAGAAAGAAATGTTTGTGCAAATTGACCCTGGTTACTGGTTAGCCTGCCGGTGATTGACCACCTAAAAGAGTTGTTAGAAAGGAAAGATGCTGAAACATGCCTGTTTCACATACTTTGAACTCGGCCATCCCTCCAAAGTGGAAAGCCAAGATTGAAACATACTTAGTTGTTCAATCCTTGGCATTTCTGACATTCGGTTGGTTAAAGCCCCAGCATTATAATTTGATTAATTCCAATCAAAGTTGCATAGGGCCATTATTTTATTCATAATATATAAATGAAAAAAAAAAAAAAAAAAAACTTATCTAGCTACCGTTATTTTTAACCCCAAAACACCATCAAATGTGGATGCTACAGCCCATTGTGCCATGGTATTTTAGTGATTGTACATAGCTTTAATTTTATGATGAATCCAAACATTAGGCAAACCAAAATTTATATTAAGCAACTTAGACTATGATGCTTTTTTTTTAGTGACATAAAGTTTCAATACCTATTTTAAATCTATAAAGCTTTCGATATGATAAAACATGTACATCGCAATATTTGTATGATTTTCTTGTCAATAAATGAAGCACAATTAAATATTGCTTTCATAACAATGATCTAAATTCAGCTTTGACTGATTAAAGTGTGCCATAAATTTCGGTTAAAGTGTTACCTAAATTTTTTTGAAAAAAAAAAAATGTACTTGCAATTAAAATTCCATGTACTACAGTTTGAAATTGGAATGATTTTATTTTCCAAAGCGCACCATTAAATTTGAACAAAGTGATCAAGTCAGAAACAAAGTTCTAATTAGAAGATGAAAAAAAAAAATCCAAGCAAATTAATTAAGAAAGTAAAAGAGACAAAATCAAAGCTGATAGGGTGGTCAACTATGCAAATTTTAACCAAAAATTTGAAGCTTACCTAATTCAAGTGGATTGAGGCAAAAGAGTCAGCTCCACAAGCATTAATTGTTGCATTTAGATAATAATTAAATTGGCAAATGCTAATTTGCAGCAACACGTAATTGCTTTTGGCATTGAAACTTGGTCTTTATTTTTCAGTCTGACCATTGAATTTTCATTGTAACTTTGAGGTCAAACCCTTTTTGGTTTTTTCGGTAAAATAAAATCCCTCGTTTATTTTTAAGTGTAGGACCGATTGTTGCTCAATTTTCGAATTATTTTATTCTTCTTTTCATTGTTTTTGGGCTTGTTACTAATAACAGGTCCCCGTTGAAAGCCCAGATGAAAAAGGCCAGAATCACTAATTCAGTATTTTAGTTGGGCTTAATGGGCTTCATCATAACTCATTAGGCCAGACCCACAATTGGTAGCTGTTTGGGCCTACTTGCTTGAAATATGGCCTCCTAATGAGTTTGATTTTCTATGGAGTTTTTGAATTTTACTAACAAATTAAAATACTCTCACGTCTGGGTGTTCACGTGTATTTTTTTTCTTAAATTATGTCCAAATGTTCTATAATGTAAGTTAGACTCACCAAATCTTTTTTAATTTTTGTCTCGAGGTTGATAAGAAAATTTGTGATTTTTAGGAAATCTATATATGGAATACATATAGTTGACTCATTGGCTAATCATAAAATATTTTCTATTCAAAGAAATTCGTAACTATTAGAATAAGGGTTTAGAGTTAAAGTAAAAAATAAATAAATATTATTAGTTATAAAAAATAATTTGCCTCGCAAACAAAGAGCATGTAGAGAGTAGTATATTGGATTTTTTTTTTTTCTTTGAAGCATATGTTCAAGAGGAAAACGGAACGTTTTCGTGGTTTCCTTTTGTGAAGGAAAAAAGGAAACGGGACGGAATATGTTTCAACATTTTGCTATAACCAGAAGAAGTAGGAGTCCTTTTAATTAATTATTTTCACGCTCAAGGAATCGAAGTGCCAGAAATTTCTTCCAACTCTTCTTCCTTCCTCCCTTCCTTCGTCGTATTATTTTTACTTTATTTATTATTATATCTCCAATTTTCTCTCCATCCGACACCAAAATTCTATCTTTTAATTTGTTTTCCTTCAGCGATCTCTTATTTCATTCTCAGGGAAACATTTTTTTAGGGCTACTCTTTGTTGATTGAATCAAAGGAATTCCTTTAATTTGCGCTCTGGAAAATTGACTGTTACGGTATTTAGGGGTTAGTGGAGGCGGTGAGATTCGAGAATGTTCTTCACAGGTGATCCGACCAGTCGGAAACGAGTTGATTTGGGAGGTCGGAGCTCGAAGGAGAGAGATAGGCAGGAACTTCTAGAACAAACGCAATTGAAGCGGAATCGCCGCCTCTGGTTGCGCCAGCAGAATTTTGCAGCTCTCAAGATTCAGGTTTGCTTTTGTTCTTCTCAATTTGAATTAATCAGTTTCTTTCCCTTTAATAATTACTCTTGTTTTTTCTTTTATTTTTTTGTTAATAGTTGAAGACACTGGTTACAAATCCGTTTTTAGTTTTAATAAAAGTGTATGCAATGGAAAGCTGCGAATAACAATGCTTTGATGTTGTCATTTTTTCCCGAATTTTGTAGGTTTGTTTGAAGTGGGACAAAATTGGTTACATTGGATATGTTGCATTGATTAAGTACTATGTATAGGTTCTTCTGTTATGCTGGATGAAATCATTGGGCTATACAATGTGATAGAGGGGAAATGCAAATAATACAGTGAACTGATATTGTTGTCTACCAAATGTTTTCCTTGTAACTGCCTTCTGTTATGAAAGAGATTCAATGCCAAGGCATTTGATGCATGTTGGTATTTAAATGATAAAATCCTTAGTTGATGTTGTTGATTCTTGAGAAAGGAATTAGAGTAATAATCAAGTTTTACTGGGAAAGATATGTGCTTTAACATGTTTTAAAACGTTATAAATTTGGTAGAAGAAAAATGGTACCGTTGTCGTTGCTGACTAGTGTATAAATATCTAAACTTTTGCTTTTGCTTCTCAATAGATAAATAAATGAATGACTTTCCTTTTTTCCAAACACCTCAAGAAACCTTATTCTCCTGTATGGTTTTGTTTCCTAGTTCAAACTTATTATCTTCAACCATAAGTTTGATTTTTTTAAGCGATCAGGTTTAAACTGTTCAAGTAAGCTTAATAGCCTGTGCTTTATTAAAATGCTCAAATATCCTCCAAGCTAGCAAGGCCATGCAATGAATAATATATTAAATCACGACCCTACATTGTCTATTTAAGCTTTTATTGTGTGTGATCTTGTATCTGAAGATGCATGTTGTTGGCTTCTTAGTCATTTCTGTTGATTTTTTCTTAAATATATCTGCTTTATGGTTAACAACACCAAATACTCATTGCTAACTGAATTGGCATTGGCTTAGGTGGTATATGAGAATCTTTTATCTATTTCTTTCTATTAGGCTGAATAAAATGGTTGTTTGGATTTGCCTTTAAGAACTTGCTGGCATATATTTTGCAAATTGTTGACTAATTACTAGCTACAGAAATACTTCAGAGGGAGAAAGGTAGTAGAAACTGAACATGCCAAGGTGTGAGAGCAGTTCTACCAAACCTATGGAGAGCACTGCCAAAACGTAGACAGGTAAACTTGGATATCTGTAGTGTCTTTACGGTGTTTTCAGTGAAGAATTCTTTTGGTTCATTTCAATGAGAATTCTGTTTAATATCAATACAGTGAATTGAAACAATTTTTTTGGCCTGTTTTATTGCTTTTCTAAATGGCTTGTTCTTTCATGTGATTTTCTGATTTTGTTCAGATTGTCTCTGTTTATGCAGGCATTGTTTTGGTCCAGACTCAGAGTTCCTTCGCCAGCTAATTTCTTATTTAATGATCGGAATATAAATGATTTTTCAGTTCTTGTTGCCAATTACTTCAGCATTTTGTTTGAGATCGTGGTATTTTTATCAGAACCCCTTCTTGAATTGTTGTATGATGAGTTGTTGTGTGATTTTTTTTTTTTTTTTTGTGTTTTGCATAGAATTATGGTAGCGTTTATCTTTCTTTCTTACTCTAACTTCTGCATATAATTATGCAACAGGAGATGTTGTGGGACTCTTTGCATGCTTGGACTATTCATCCAATCATTTCTTGGTTGCCTACAAATTAAAGTTATTCTCATTTGCTTGTATTCAGGCTATACATCCGAACAAGTTAGTGCCTCTAACCTTCTTTTGTCATCTGGGTGTTGTTGTATTTTTCACTTTTATTTTTGTATTACATGATGGAGCTTGCGTTCTTTTTTCTATGTTTAGATGTTGTTTAGAATCTCAGGGATTGAAAATAGAAAAAGAAACAAGGGGAAAAAAGAATGCCTGATCTTGATGATAGCTTAATATATCTATTGTTATGCACCTCATCTCTCTCTCTCTCTCTATCTTCCCCTTTCTCATTCAATGTATTTTGCTTTTGCCCTATAATGTCTAGTAAAATTTAATAGACTCATATATTCTGTTTGTATTTTCAAATTGTTTTTGAAAGTAATATTACTTAATTTTTTATTGGATAGAAATCAATTGAAAGATCAACTTTTGATGACTCTAGAAGAGTCTAGTGCATCAACAGCCATCTTGCTTCATGCATTGGTTTTGTTGTTTGATCCTAAACTGCCATGGGCTTGTAAGACAATTGGTTATCTTATGCAAAGAAATGTATTCTCTCTATTTAGAGAAGTTATTCCAATAGTAAAGGTACTTTATTTTCAATCTTGTTTCTAGGTTTTGTTTTCCTCTAATTGGATATGATATTTATGTAGCCACTTTGATATCCCTATCTTTGTTGCTTTGTAAAACTTGTGATTTAATAATTGCTTGCTGCTTATCTAATACCATCTTAATTTTTTGGTGCAGGAAAATATAAATGTTAAAGGTTCTTTTGGGAAAAATTTTGTATTCGAGTATGTGTGTCATAACGTATAGATTCAAAAATCTATAGCTAGACTTAACAAATGGAGTCATTACTAATCTCTTTTAACTGTGTGATTGGTCACCTAATGAATATATCATTTTAAGGAGTTTTTAAGTTTGACTAAAGGCCCTTAAAAGAATAAGTTCTGCTAATTAGAATATGATTCGGGAGTGCAGTTACATATGAAGAAGGTAATAACACCCTCACATGCTCATTCAAATGATGGTACTATTTTATTTTAAATTATCTTAAGAGCTTGATGCTAACGGTATTAAATTTAATGTTGAATATTGAAAATAATTTTTAAAATTTTCATCAATATGGTAGATTTTTTAAAAATTATGTTTTCATTTCAAGAGTATTAAAGAATTTCATTTGTTTTCTTAAAGAGATTTAGTTGTTGAAAATATATTTAATTATTTTTTTTATTTTTTATTTTTATTGAAAATATATTTAATTATTCTATCATTTGGATCAAATTAAAAATTTTTAAAATTTTCATCATTTGAGTTTATTTAGAATTTTTTTATTTTTCTTTGGAAATAAAATAGTATGACATTTTTTTTGAAATTTCATTTAAATTTTTTTTATCATTTAAGACAAATTTAAAGAAAATTTTTACTTAGAGATTTTAGTGAAAATTTATCATTTGAAATTTTTAAGATTTTAATTTTTGAATAATTATCAATATTTTCAATTAAATTTTTTGTTTGAAAAAGAGTATAATTATTTTTATTAAAATTTCATATAAATTATTTTTTCATTTAGGCGAAATTTTAAAAAAAATTTTGCTTAGAGAATTTTAAAGAAATTTTTTATTTGAAAATTTTTAAAATTTCATCTTTGGATAATTTATATTTAATTTTAAAATTTTTATTAATATGTTTTTTTATTTTTTATTTTTTTAATTAAAAATAAATATTAATTATTATTATCAAAATTTTATCTAAATTATTGTCATTTAGGAGAAATTTAGATAAAATTTTTCACTTAAAAATTTTGTAAAATTTAATAATTTAAAATTTTTAAAAATCTCATTATTGGATAATTATTATTTATTTTTTAAAAAATATATATCTTTTTATATTTTTTTATTTTTATTACAATTTAATCATGTAAAGAGAATACATATAAAATAAATAAAATAACTAAATAAATAAAATAAATAAAATTAGAAAAAATATAAAAAATGGCTTGAGTTGGTAGTTGAAACGGTTCGACTGAAGACACAATGGCTAGGAGACATGGTTTAAAGGCTTTGTTCAACTAAAAGAATCGGTTGGAACGGGTCGGCAGAAGTGGGTTGGGGTTCAGGTCAGGTTGGTCTAAATAAAAACACACGGATCTTGAGATCTTTTAAGGGAAAAATAACATTGTTTTGGTAAAGTATAAATAGGCCAGAAATCATTTTTACCTTCAGACTTCTTTTGCTCTTTCTCTCTCTTTACTTACATTTTCTTTCTCTTTAGAAACCCAAAAATTTAGTCGAATGTTTCATCAAAAACTAGAAAAAATCATCGAAAATTAGAAAATATTGTTGGAAAATATGAATGTCACCGAAAAATTTCGTCAGAATCTAAAAAAAATTTTAAAAAATTTTCAGAAAAACATGTAAATCTTTTTGTTTTAAACTCAAAAAATTTCTCTAATAGTTTTAGATTTTTTTGTGTGATGTTATTTCTTCTAATTTTTTTGTATTTTTCTCTAAACATTGTGTTTCTCTGATCTATCTCTTTTATGTGTGATTCAGGGTTGTATTTTTAGAAAATAATTAGTAGAGTTTTTGATTAACTATGAATTCACCTTTGATTGGATTTTTGTATTATTAAAAAACATTAGATTTATCTTAGTGCAAATTAAAATCAACATCAATTCTATAAACACCAATTCACGACAAGAATTTATTATTATTATTATTTTTTACTATTATTCTATTCTCTTAACGTCAGAAAAATTAAAGATAAATCAAATAAAAAAACCAATGAAAAATCATAGGTAAACAAAAAAACAAATAATAATCAACAAAAAGATAAATCTAAAAATAAATAAATAAGTAAATAGATAAATAATAAATAAATAAAATATAAAATAATGAATGATTAGGCTTGAAAATCTAGAACCTATTGAATTAGGCACAATGAGCATAGGTTTGAATCAATTAGGGTATTTACAACTGTTTTTCTGTGTAGTGTTTGTGTAACAAAAATTATGCAAAGACATAAACACCCATTATATTCAGATAATTAGCTCGACATGTTTTTTTTTTTTTCACAAATCAGACACTCAGATTTATTGAATAATATAAAAACTCTTCTAAGCAAAGGCTCTCAACTTTTGGAACATATATAAAGCTTTTTTAATCAGAGGCTCAATGAGTTTGAAAAGATAAATAATGCTTTTCTAAATAAATGTTCAACCACTTTTGAAAAATAAATAAGGTTTCTCTAAACAGAGACTCAACGATTTTTGAAAAATAAATAAATAAAGCTTTTCTAATTAAAGGCTCAATAATTTTGAAAAATAAATAAAGTTCATCTAATTAGAGGTTCAATAATTTTGAAAAAAATAAAGTTTCTCTAATAAGAGTTCAACAATTTTGATAAAATAAATAAAACTCTTCTAATAAGAGGTTCATCGACTTCTGAAAAATAAATAATGCTCCTCTAATCAGAAGGCTCAACGATTTTTAAAAAATAAATTAAACTTTTTCTAATCAGAGGTTCAACCACTTTTGAAAAATAAATAGAACTCCTATAATCAGAAGTTCAATAACTTTGAAAAAAATAAATAAAGCTCATCGACAATTTTGTTCAGAAGAGTCATAGATCATGTCTGAAGAAATTTTATGAGGTTATGTCCAAAAGTCTTACATATCATTTTTAATATTTAGAAATATTCTTTTCTAAGGATCAAAATCTTACCTCAAAAGTATTTTTTTTTAAATGAAATGTTGAAATTCTTTCATTGGAAAATTTTCATATTTATCTTTTTCATGAGAAATTTTGAAACATTTTTGCTTCATGCACTAGACATTTTTAAATGCAATGCATGCTATGTATTAAACATTCAGAAACGCAATGCATGCTATGCTTTCTTTCAAAAGTTCAAAATCCCTTGTAATGAAAATTTTCAATCTTTCATCAAAGTCAAAACTTTGCAATGATAATGATGCAAATACTTTCTTAATGATGCAAATACAATAGTTTAGATTCTCACAATACTACAGATACCATATTTTAAATCATGATTGATATATTCATTGCCTGATACAAGTGCATAGCCAAACCAAATTACATGTGTATTATTCTTATTAGCTTTTTTATGTGAGATGGTGATCCAAGATGGGAATATATTGGATTTTTTCAAATTTTTTTTAAATTTTTTTCAAATAAATGATTTCAATATAATTAAATGAAAATTAAAATAATAAGCATTTTTTATGCAAATATAATGCAAACAATAATAATTAATAAACATAAAATCAAATATAAATAACAATAAATTATAAGGAGATAAAGATAGAGAAATAAAAAACAATTATTTATAAATGTTCAATCTTTATTCAAAAGACATTTATGTTTTATCTTCTTGGTTGTTCACACCAAGACTTTAATTCACTATTGAAAAAAAATTTTTACAATATATATACTCATCTTGTACTAAACTTTTATTTTTTTTTCAAGACTTAGATAACAATTTTTACCTTTACAATATTAAAATGATACCTTACTTCTTGCTTACAAGATAACTCAAATAATTTATGCAAACTAAAATACCTTTAAAGGTTGAGTGTTTGTCTAATAAAATACAAAAAAAAAAATAATGAATGAAACACAACAATATTTTGGATACAAGAAATACAAAGGATATTGAATTTAAGTTTTAAAACTTTTGATTTCTTTGAGAGAATGAAAGTATGATTTATTTTATCTTGCTCTCTTGATTCATCAACTATCTTGGTGTGTTGGAGTGATCGATATATAGAGAAATTGAAGAGCTAGCTGTTGGTGAAGGTTTGGAAGAAGAAATGTCCGTTGAAGGCATGAAAAACTAGCTGTTAGAAAGTTTCTACCCAAACCTGATCACTCCTTTCTATGATGGGATCGATTGGTTCAAGTTTTGTGTCATTTTTCACTTGAAAAATATGACCCGATCAATCAGGTAAGGGACCCGATTGATTGGTTCAGCGAAGGGATCGATCATGTAACTTAGAAGATCAATCCGATCAAGCTTTCTATTGTATCTT